TGATATCACAGAGCCTGTGACAGCATACACAAGAGAGAGAGAGAGAGAGAGAGAGAGAGAGAGAGAGAGAGAGAGAGAGAGAGAGAAACAAGACAGGAAAATAGAACTGTATAGGGAGGGAGAAAACCAGCAGAGTGGGGTGGAAGAGTAGTAGGTCAGATAAGAGCAAAGTACAATGAGCTAGAGATATGTATATGAAATTGTCAGGATGAAATCTATTATTTAGTATAATAACAAAAACTTTACTGCAAGTAAAAAGTCATAAAAAGTCTATGCCAAATCCTCTTAGTCTGTAATAAAGACAAATATGAGAATTCTGCTGAGTCAGAGTGCATAGTGACAGCACCAGTTCTTACTCACTGCAAAGGTCAGCCTTGGCAATTGTGGAAAAGCTACTGCCATCGCACGAATGGCAGACACCAGGGTTGTTCCGCAATATCCTCCAGTCTATAGGACAAATCTACACAACAGAGTCGTCCAACCCAAAATGTTAGAGGTGCTAAAAACCCTGTCTTAGAAGGAAAGATCATTGAAAAGAATGTTGAGCATTTACTGTGGCTAATGTATTACATATATAAATATGTAAATTATAAGCCGGTATCATCCTCAGGTTTCTTTTTTTTAAAGATTTATTTATTTTTATTTTATGCACATGTATATCTGTGTGAGGGTGCCAGATCCCCTGGAATGGGAGTTACAGACAGTTGTGAGCCACCATTTGGGTGCTGGGAATCAAACCAGGGTCCTCTGGAAGAGCAGCCAATGCTCTTAACCACTGAGCCATCTCTCCAGCCCCCATCTTCAGATTTCTTTAGCAAATGGAGAAAGAATTGAATTTATGTTTAATTATACATAAATTAAAATCACCACAAATGCAAATTTTCTAAAGTATCTTTTCATTGGTTTATGTCCTTTTTTTTTCCTTCATTATTTTAGGAACCTTGGGTGCAATTTACTCATTGAGCTGAGCTTTGGAACATTTCAAGCATGGCATGGAATGCAGTTTTTACAGAAGTTGTAAGTGAAGTAGAAGTTAAGCACATGTAAATACTTATTTGTGTGTTAAAAACCCAATGGAGTGTTGATTCACCGAGAGTAAACCCTGTGTGGACTGTGATAGCTTGTCTTAAGGTCCATTGGTTCTTTTCCAATGAGGAAACTAAGGCCCAGGAGACCAGGAGACCTGTGTAAATTACAGGACATGATCTGCTTTCCTAGTCCTGACCTTCAGCACAGACACTACAAGTACCACCACTCCAGTAACACTCACTAGGTATCATCATGGGGCCCTAGGGCTGTGGCTCTGATGTGTGATGCTTTTGGAAACCCACTTGTGATTCCCTCTCCCATGCACAGTTCCCAAAGAACAAGGACTAATAACAAGTCCTCCAGGGAGCAAAAGGTGTAGGTGCTTCCTCAGAAATGTAAAGCTGAGAATTCACCCTGTGACTTCTCTCCCCATCATCCAGAACATTATTTTTCAGGAAGTATATGCCTCTGAAATCATGGATTCTCTGTGGGTAAGAGGTACCTTTGCAGCATGGGATAAGATGTCATCTGCATTAAGCTATATGGTTGAAAATATTCATAAAATCTGTTGTTCTAGCCTGGTTCTGTATAATACTTTTCTTCCTCAAGAAGAAAGTGAATTTTATTAGCTTTTAGCCAAAAATTCATGTTTGTCTGGCATTATGGCATCTGCTTAAATACCAGCAGTTGCACTCAGGAGACAGAGGCAGGAGGATCATAAATTGGAAGCAGTCTTGGACTAATAGTAGACTCTTGTGTCAAAAACAAAACAAAACAAAACAAAAACCCCACTTTGTGTGACATTCAGTGGCCAGGAGGGCATTATAAACTCAAGAGGAAATTTCTGCTCTGAATCTGATTTTGGGTGACTGTAACCTGTCTGGCAGGTCAGAAACCCAGATTCACAGTTGGTTCCCATTGGAGGAAGGGTTGGGATGTGCTAGAGCTGGATGAACTGTTCTGTAGATGCTTTGTGGCAGTCCCCTCTCTCCAGCACAGCTTGCTGACTCCTAACTTGGGGAAAGGAACCACAGGGTCTGCTTTTCAGGCAGAGGAGCATGGCTGGTGGGTTAGGGAAGACTCGTGCAGGAGACACTGACTTGTTATCTCTAGTTTGTGTCCATCTTTGCAGAAAGGGAGTCTGCTTCCCGGTGATGAGAAAAGCAGCGCTAACTGGTATTGGACATTGATATTCACATCATGTGGTCTGAATGGAATGATACCTGTCAGAATTCAGTCACTATCACAGATTGGCCCAGTGAGGTAGGCACAGTATATACTTGTAGGTCCTCAGATGCTGAGGCAGGAGGATGTCTTGAGCCCAGGAGTTCAAGGCTGACCCAGGCAGGATAGTAAGAACTCATTAAAAAAAAAAAGAAGTAGCAGCTTGACAACTATGGACACAACCACCAAGTGTATGCTGGGACTCCTTTGTTAAGATCCAACACCCAACTCTTTGTGATAGATTGGGCAGTTTTCTTCAGGAAATATTTCCCATGGTAGGACAGAAACTGCTGCTGCTTTATCATCGTCATCGTCATTCCTCCTCCTCCTCCTTCTTCTTTTCCTCCTCCTCTTGTATTTTTTTATTCTTCTCTCATACATTATATCCTAACTATAGTTTCCTCTCCCTCCACTCTTTCCATACCCCCACTTCCTCTCTCCCCCAGATCCACTTCTCCTGCTTCCCTTAAAAAAAAAAAAAAAAAAAAAAAAAGAGCAGGCCTCCCAGGGATATCTACCGAAGATGGCATAACAAGGCACGATACAATGAGGCACAAACCCTCCTATCAAGTCTGGATGAGGCAACCCAGTAGAAGGAAAAGGGACCCAAGATCAGCATTGTTAAATGAGCTGTATAGGTACACTTCCTTGAATAAGAGTAGAAATGTATGTACAGTATGTTCTAACCAAAATAACCTTAAATTCGTTTCAACATAAAAAATCCACATCAGTGTAAAAAATTTAAAACTGGTAGTTGCTTTTTTTTTGTTTAAAAGTATATTCAATATTCTACCTTTTTATCTTATCATTTCTATAACATTTATAAAGCATAACAAAAATAACCTCAAATTTGTGTCAATATACAAAAATCCAAGCCAATGTAAAATATTTAAAACTTGTAGTTGCTTTTTAAAAGTAGATTCAATAATCTACCCTTTTATTCTATTTTCATATTCCTTCTTTTTCTTTTTAAAACAAGATCCCTGAATCTAATCTGCTTTGTTCAGATTTTTTCATAACTATTACCAATAACAACTTGTAACCAACTCCCCTAAATTATGACAAATATCCATAACCCACTAAATGACCAAAAACCACTTGGGAATGTGGGCATTGTGTTCTTAAAATTATTTCCTTCTGTCTGGGGGCAATGACATCTTTAGGAGACCCTGAAAAAATATTGGGTTAATTGTCAAGTCCTGGAAGTGCTAGCTATATCATTTGTTGTCCAGTCTCTGTGTAATGGGAAAGTGCAGGGTTTGTCTCAAGTCCTGACTAGAGTAGTCTGTGAGGCTGGATCATCTCAGCAAGCCACCTTGAAATTGTCCTGAGCAGTTTGTAGTCCAAAGCTGAACTTTAGGTGGTGTTTGTCAGCTTAGTGGTGTTATCATAGTCCAGGTGGGATCGTTGTGGGGCCCCACCATCCTTTTGGAGACTTCAAAGGTCACTGTCAGGCATTTTCATGGTTCACTGCAGAAAACTTAAACATTTTAAATGTCATATGCAGCAGATCTCAAAGAGATTAAAGGACTATAATTTGTTATGTTCATTCAGAGTACAAAAGCTTAATTCCTAGTTACTTGATAGAGACTCAAACACGAAATCATGTACCGGGACCTAGATTAAGCCCTTTTTTAGAATTAGTACTCTATATGACAATATCACAATAAAAAGTTTAATATACATTAATCTTACAAATTTTGATATAATATTCATACCATAAGGAAAGTTTTAAAAAGTCAAAATAAAACCCAAGGATTAATGAGATTAGTAGCAATAGAATAGTCCCTTAATTTTGGTTTTTCTCTGTCCCATATCAGGTGGCTTTTCTGACATTAGACAGAGATTTTAGATTTTACTTTAACAAGCATGCTTGGGTTTAGAGGAGGAGAGAACCATGCTCCAACTCCAAAGCCAGCTTAAATTTTTAATTGAGCTGGGACTATAAAAAGACCATTTGCATTATATGTCTGTAGAGAATAGCAGAATCAAGCATTTAGGAAGATTTATGAAATTTTATCCTGTGGGAAATGTGATATACCAATAGGCCAATTTATTTCTTCCTTTCTTGGTATATTTTCTCTGGATGATTCATCCTTTTTCTTCAGATGTTTCATTTGTCCAGTGGTCTTCAGATTCCTTAGCTGGTTGCCTTTATTCTCCTGGAAAGACAAAAACAAAACCCTGCCCCCCACCTTAACTTTGGGGAGTTTCCCTTTTGGCAAGTTATATCTGATTAAATGAAAAGAATTTGTTAGTTTTGTTAGTTTAGACTGAATGGTCATGCTGGTTGATGAACTATCACCTCTTCTATCAAGAAGTCTCTTATTCCAATCCAATCTTTATCAATCTTGATGGTATCCACAGCTTTTCTTCTCCTGTAGAAACAAAAGCAAAACCTCTTCCCTAATGTAACACATACCCTGGTTTCCATTCTGAGGTCAACACATCTTTAAAGTATACACACTGATTTAATTCGGTAGTTTTTTTCTATTAGCCAGTGTCTCTCCACAGCTGTTGTTTCTTTCTCATTAGCATTTAGAAAATTTAAAGTTAATAAAACATTAGGCAATATATCTCTGTGGGTCTTTATTACACTTTTCTGTTTATTAAGCATATCTTTTAGAGTTCAATTAGATCTTTCTATAACTGCTTACCTTGTAGGATTGTGTGGTATACCTGTAATATGATTTATGTTTCATTTTACTAGAGACATATGCTAGAGCATTGTCAGTCTTAATTTGTACAGGTATTCCCATGATGGCCGTGACTTCTAACAAATGTGTGATTACAGAATCAGCCTTTTCAGAACTCAAAGCAGTTACCCATTGAAATCTTCAATATGTGTCTATGGTATGATGTACATATTTTAATTTTCCAAATTCTGTAAAATGAAACACATCCATTTGTCAAATTTATTTGAGTACTCTTTGGCTTACTTCCTGCAGGTAGTGGAATTTGATGATACAAGGAACAAGTAGGATATTTTCTTATAAATTCTATCTCTGTTCCTTTGAAATCCCTTTATCCTCATGGCCCTTGACTAATTTCTTACCCTTTGTGGGTGCTCCTATTTAGACACACATATCCAATGATTCAAGCTAACATACACAACAATAGAGAACATTGTGGTGTCTTTCTGGGTCTAGGTTACCTCACTTAGAATGATTATTTGTATCTATATCCACTTATATGCAAATTTCACTTTTCTTTAAAGCTAAATAATAGCCTTTTGCATATTTGAAGCACATTTTCATTATCTAGTCATCCATTGATGCACATCTAGGCTGTTGTATTTCCTGGCTATTGTGAAAAGAGCAGCAGTAATCAGGGAATAACAAGTATCTCTGTAATATGATAAAGAGTTCTTTGACATTAAGCCCAGGAGTGATATTGTGTATACAGTAGCTCTGTCTCTAGCTTTTTTGAGGGATCTCCCCCACTGGTTTTCATAGTACACCAGTTTGTACTCCCATGGGCTGTTCATTACCACTGAGCTGGAGAATGAGGAATGATCCAGAGCAAGTTAAAACAACACACTTTTCATTACTTCTATTACAGAGATTGAGTTAGATTTTCTCAATAAATAAATTATTCTGTAGTGTGATGAGCCTTTGATTAAATTTACAAAGTTCTGAAAAAAGTGGTTCTGGCTTTTTTTTTTTTTTGACAGTTCACCATTTGATAGAGGAATGAATTCTGATATTCTTACATTATTGTTTTCATTAATGTCACTATGTTGTCATGACTTTAAGTCTCTAAAG